AGAGAGATGAAATAGAGAAACTTTTCAGTCTGCAAGAAGAATTTGCAAAAATAGGTGAGACTCAGGAGCTGCTGTGTTGGATCCAGTTTCTCTGGTAAACTGAGGATTCTCAGAGAAACAGTTTCAGGGTCATGATTAAATCAAAGCTGTGACTGTTATGTCCTTTGACACCCTCTTAGCTAAACAAGATGGCTCCTAAGAATCTTATGAGTGTTTTCCCGTGATACTCGAGCATTCCAGAGAGAAGTTTGTATGAATTATGATTTAGCTTTGAAGGGCATGTAAAGAACTTCAATCCATCTTATAGAAAACCTGAACTTTTTAAGGGTGGTGTACTTTGCTAAACATATACGTACAACATTTCAAAATGAAAAAGGCCTCTAGGTCCCCAACTTTGAATAAGCAGGAAATAACCAAAAACTTGGGGAAAATGCTGTAGTCTTAATTTTCAACACATGTATATATTTTTTAGTCCCTTTTTATTCTCCTGGGTCCCTACCTTAAATGACATTCACATAAACTATTCTAACCACTGGAGGAAATTAAGCCATACAGTCAGATTTTTTTCTGTCAGATCAGAAGATCACCATGCTAGAAGTCAGGAGTGACCAGTTTGACTCCCAGCTGAGACCCTAATTCTGAGACATTGGCCAAATCATTACACTCTCTGAGTCTGTTTTTTTTTTTTTTTTAATCTTTAAAAGGATTAGGCCCGTATTGAAGTTACAGAAAATAGTAGATTAAGACCCTCAGAGAACTGGTCCATCCACTTACTTACCCAATGCAAAAGTCCTGAAAAAAAAAATAGTAGCAAACTGAATTCAGCAGCATATCAAAAGGATTATATACCATGACCAAGTGGTATCTATTCCCAGGACACAATGATAGTTCAACATATGAAAATCAATCCGTATAATACACTACATTAATAGAATGAAGGAAAAAACCTACGTGATCATCTCAATTGAGGCAGGAAGAGCATTTGAGTAAAGTCAACATTTTTCCATGGTAAAAAACAATAAACAAGGAATAGAAGAAAATTTCTTCAACATGGTAAAGGCCATATGTAAAAAAACCCACAGCTAATATCACACTCAATGGTGAGACTGAATGCTTCTTCTGTAAGATCAGGAAGGAGAAAAGGATGTGTATTTTCACCACATCTATTCAACAGTATTTGAAGTTCTAGCAGAGCAATTAGATAAGAAAATGAAATAAAAGACATACAAATTGGAAAGGAAACAATTATCTCTATTTGCAGATGATCTCAAAATCTCAAATAACACACACACACATACACACAGTACAGCTAAAATGAATTGTAAACAATATAAATATAAAGTATAAATAAACAGAATAAATGAAATGTAAACAATACAGCTAAAAAATGAATTCTACAAAGTTTCAAGTATAAGATCCACACAAAAATCAGCTATGTTTCTATACACCAGCAACAAATAATTTTATATGGAAATTAAGAAAACAATTCCATTTATAATAGCACCTGAAAGAACAAAATACCTACGAATAAATTTGACCAAGGAGGTGAAAGACTTGTACATTGAAAATTATAAAACATTGCTAAAAGAAATTAAATGTTAATAAATGAAAAAATATCCTGTGTTCATGGATTGGTAGACCTAATGTTACTAAGATGGCAATATTCCCCCAAAGTTATTTACAGATTCAATGCAATCCCTATCAACATCCCAATGGCCTTTCCAAAATGCAAAAACCAATCTCAAAATTCATATGGAATTTGATGGGACCCCTAATAGCCAAAACAATCTAGGAAGAGAACAAAATCGGAGAACAAAATCATACTTCCAGATTTCAAAACTTATTACAAAGCTAAAGTAATCAAAACACTGTGGTACTGACACACACACACATACACACACACACACCCCTAACTCACACCATATACAAAACAACTCTAAATGGATCAACAACCTAATATAAGAGCGAATACTATAAAAGTCTTAGAGAAAAACGCATGGGTAAATCTTCATGACCTTGAATTTGGCAACGGATTCTTAATTATGACACCAAAAGGAGAAGCAAAAAAGAAAAAATAGATGAACTGGACTTCATCATAATTAAAAACTTCTGTGCAACAAAGGAGATGATGAAGAAAGAAAAGGACAACCTGCAGAATGGAAGAAAATATTTGTAAATCATATATGAAGTCTAGTATCTATAAAGAACTCTTACAATTCACAATTTAAAAAAAATTTTAAAAACCAGGCATAGAGCTTGAACAGACATTTCTCCAGTGAAGACATACAAATGGTCCACAAGCAAATGAAATACTCACTGGTATGACTACACTATTACTAGTAATAATGATAATAATAATAAAAAGAAAATAGTGTTAGTGAGGATGTGGATAAATTGGAATCCTCATACATAGCTGGTGCGAGTGCAAATGGTTCAGCCACTGTAGAAGACAATTTGACAGTTCCTCAGAAATGTAGACATAAAATTACCTTATGTGCCAGCAATTCCCCTCCTATGATATACCCAAAATAATTAAAAACAGGTACCAAAACAAACACATATACATTCATGTTCACAGTAGCACTAGAAACTATAGCTAAAAGGTAAAATCACCCAAATATCCATCAATAGATAAGTGGATAAACAAATTATGCTGTGTGTGTGTGTGTGTGTATATAAATATATATATATATGGAAGATTATTTAGCCATAGAAAGAATGAGTTACTGATATTGAATTGTTCACTTTCAAATGGTTAACTATGTGAATTTCACCTCAACACTAAAAATCAAACAAACAAAAAGGACTAGGCCAGATGAGCTACAAGATTTCTTTAAGGCTTATAATTACAATTTGATAATCAACTCTTTCTTATTTTCTGGACACAGGGTAGAAGGCATTAAAAACACCATTAACAATCAATCAGTTTCTTAATGCCGTACCCTTGAATATGGAGGGGACAAAAAAGGATCATTAGCCATTTAAGAAACACTTCCAAAAGGAAATACAAAGATCAAAGTTAGTTAATGGGGAAAAAAAGGTCTTGGGAGACAATGAGGGGACAGAACTTTAGGAAAACACTAATTCATATGGATCCACAGGATTCACGAAAAGGTGATCAGCACTCTTGGAAGTAACTGCCAACATGAAAGTTTTCTCAATGTTTCTCAATAAAAGAAACATTAAGAAAACTCCCAGAAAAGACTTTAAATTAGATAGAAAAAAGGAGATAATATAAGGAAAATGGCGATCTAAAAGGTTTAACATCCCCTAAGACTTTGAGAAGAAAGAAATCAAAAAAAATTTTTTAAAAATTCCCTTAATGCTGCAGGACATGCATCTCTAGGTTGAAAGGGTTCACTGACTGCCTAGTAGCAAGAATGGTTGGGGTTGGAAATTCTAAGACATTATGACATTTTATAATAGCAGAACTAAAACGAAGCTCCTAAAAATTTCTGGGAGCATGGAGGTGGGGTAGGAAAAAATCTAAAAAAGAACACAGATGGAGTCTGTCTGATTTCTCCACAACTTGGATGACTGAAGACAAGGGAGCAATGCTGCAAAAAAAACTATATCCAGGGCTGGCCTGTGGCTCACTTGGGAGAGTGTGGTGCTGGTAACACCAAGGACACGGGTTCAGATCCCTATACAGGGATGGTCATTTAGCTTACCTGGGAGAACGTGGTGCTGACAATACCAAGTCAAGGGTTAAGATCCCCTTACTGGTCATCTTTAAAAAAACAAACAAAAAAACAAAAAAAACTATATCTAGTTGAACTGTCAATCAAGTATGAGCTATCAGATTTGTAGAGATTCAAAAAATTAATCTGTAATTCTTCCCTAAGAAGTGACTTCATCATAAGCTCCAGCAAGAAAGAGGAAAGAGAGCCATCAAACAGTGGCTTTCTAACAAAATTATTAAAGAAAGTCCTAGAATGTGAACTAGTATGCCAGATGTTTGAAGCAGAACTAATGGTTCCAAAATGAAGGTTTCTGAGAAATGTGAGTTGACAGAATATGAAGAAGCATCTGAAAAGATTAAAATTATGATAATTACAAGATAACAGCACAAGAAGAAAAACAAAACAAAACAAAGTCTTCAAATAAAAATGTACAGGCTGAACAAGAAAGGAAGTGTATCATAGTGCAGGACCCGGCACAGGAGAGAGCAGTGAGTCATCATAATGCAAACCCTAATGAACCAAACAGAAAGTAACACATACTACACAGGAAAGATAGGAGTGCGGAAGTAAGGGTATGAATGAATCAAATTTATTAAAAATGTATCCTTTAAAAGACACATGCATTTACAGGTTCAAATCTTTATTGTTTTAAAATTGTACATGTCTTTTACAATACAGTATTTTGTAACTTAAATGACCTCTAAATGGTTAATGTACAATGAATATCTTTTTTCCTGAAACTCGACCATAAATTGCGATTTCATCAATATGATTATTCTAAACAGAGTAATAAAGATGTTGGGAAGATCTGAGTACTGCATTTGAAATGGTTAACAACACAGACTCTTGCTTTTAAAACTCAGATGATCAATCTATAGAAAGTGCTTTTGAAGATTGCTGATTCTTTAGGCTGATCTTAAAATCAGTCAATTAAATTATAGTTCTTTTTTTAAAAAAACATCAAAGGGCATTTAGAAAAATAAATGAAACAATTTGCTTTAGTAATCTACTGAGGCAAACTCAAAATTATGATTATCTGCATGCAATAACACTCCTCTTTAAATAGTTTTGAAGAATTTATACATTTTACAAAGAATGTGTTAAAGAGTGCAAGTATTCTGATACTGATTTCACGAAAGGACAAATGTTAGTAATAACAACTAACATTTAACATCTAAGTTCAAGCTACTGTATATTCAACAGGCAATTAATATGGCTAATTATGAGCCACGATGTACAGGGTATGCCCTTTGAGAAAATGAACTAGTTTGGTCCACATTTCTAGAGTTATTTAGGTCAAAACAAAAGTCCCAAAACAAAACCATTTTAATTCAGCCAAGGGTTCTAATGAAATTTATTATTCCTAAAATGTAGCCAGTTAAAAAGTAAATGATGTACACCAATGAAGTACATTGTCACATTGACTTTTGTATAAAAAGATGGCCTGCTGTTTTGGTAGTGATGAATGAGCACTGTTGGACAAATCAGGAAAATGTCATAGAACCTATTAATTACTTCCATAAGTTATACTTTCTTATTCCATGACACGGCTTTCACTCTGTAAAACTTTGTCCCCAAAGGAACTTTAAATCTGTTTTGTGCCTAAGAGGGAAAGAAAAAAGGGAATCACTTAAATGATTAAAGCAAATGACGCTACTACTCACTGTCATACTACTCATTGCTACAGTATTTGGGGGGAAGTGGGGACCTTTATCAAAGATCTACCTCTCACCAACTGAGAATATATTATATACTGAGCTACTAATATTGATAGAAGACAAAGTTGACACCCACTGGAAAGAACATAGTACAAAGTGAGCCATTTCATTAAGTATCAGAGAAACCTCAATTCTATACAATTTAAGATTGGTTAGTGTTTTGGAGCACTGAGGCCCCAAATTACAATGAGTCAGGAAGAATGCTCAGCAGATTTCACTGATTCTATACTACTGATACCGCTCATATTCCAATCAGGCCCATTTTTAAGCCACCAAGTACTTTACACTATCTTTCTTCAGTGGGGGTACAGGATGAAAATAAGAAAACATCAATTCTACCTACAAACAGAATTCACTTTTGTCACCAGGTCTGCAGGATTCTTTTTTTTGCACATAAGTTACACTAGTAACTTAATAGTCATAAAGCAGAAACTTTGCAGTAGTTTTCCTGTATAGGTCGATGGATTGTTAGTCATCTACCTATAGTGTCTAAAGACAAATAACACAAATACTAATAAAATTGCTGGTTCAAACTCACTCTCATTAAATTCAAGCTCTAACTCAAGTGAGCTAGAAGCCCAAGAACAGCACTAGTGATGATTTCTATATAAAGAGTAGGAGAATCTTCTTTATAATTCCTAGGTTTATATCATATGTTACAGTTTTTACCTTTTTGGCTTGACAGTATTCCTTTTCCATTACTTTTCCAAGTACCCAGCCTCTTCTAGATACACCTGAAGCTAATGAATCAAACTGGTAATTTCTTTTCTGAAAGTACAGTTATAATTACATATGAAAACATAACTGCCGGAATCAAAACAGACTAAGTTCTCATGAGTGAAAGAACGTCTTCAAACTGCCGACATCACTGAAATGCTTAACGATTTATATAACAAAACTGAAGTCATGGTACTTTTCAACCAGTATTATATGGCTTTTATTACTCATTAACTAAATGTACATGGTACATCAAATCACAGAACTAACATAGTTCAGAAAATACTACTAATGTAAGTATAAATCATAAACAAATACATCTAGGAATTTTGGGCTAACTCAGCACTGCCATCTGCTGAAACAGCTAACAAAGATGACGTTTTCCATTTCTGAAAGCAGACAAAATACATTTTCTAGGTTCAAAGCAAAAACTGATTTTTGAGGGGCAGTGCATTGAACACAATTCCTCAAAAGCAAGAACTGCACTTTCCTCACATCTGTATGCCACGGTGCCCAGCACAGCAGTGTGAACACAACTGGTGCTCAATAAATAAAACAATAATAAATTTCTGTGGTTAATAACCAAAGAAAGTCTAGAAGGGTAGCACTTGCGTGAAGGGGAGATGGAAAATGTGGGAGGAGACAGAGTGAGAAGGCTAGTCCTCATACCCCCAAAGTATGACAAGCGAAGACGTAAACTCTCAATCCTTTTAATTTCATCAGAAAAGTTGGCATAATAAGGTTGATTGCAAAAGTATTCAGCCAATAAACTACAGATGCTCCTCAATTTACAACGGGGATATGTCCCTGATAAATCCATCGTAAGTTGAAAATATATTAAGTTGAAAATGCATTTAATATACCTAACCTACCGAACATTACAGCTTAACCTTGCCTGCCTAGAACATGCTCAGAAAACTTACATGACCCTACAGTTGGGCAAATCATCTAACACAAAGCCTATTTTATAACGAAGTGCTGAATATCCCATGGAATTTACTGAATACCGTACTGAAAGTGAAAAACAGAATGACTGTATGGGTACTTGAATTATGGTTTCTAACGAATGTGTATTGCTTTTACACCATAATGATGTCAAAAAACCTTTGTAAGTTGGGGATTGTCTGTATTCCGTTTAGGCTAAAGTCTATTAAGAGTCCCAACAGAAGACATAACTGATTTTTATTCCATAAAAGTAGTTTGGCAAAATATACATGAAAGATATTTTCAATACATCATCAAGAATGAAACTTAAGTTTACTATCATGTGACAAAAAGCCCCTGGACAACATGATAAAGAAAACACTCTGAAGAGTAAAATAGCACTTCACAGCCACTTCATAATGTCTGAAAACAATCACCTAAAACTAAATGCTCAAATTATGCCAAACTCAACAAAAACACTCCCTATCCCCTCCAGGGTAACAACACAGGGATAGCAGGACCCCAATTGGCATGCTCTGTTATGTATTTCTCAAAGGGAAAAAGGGAGGAAGGATATCCAAAGTTAAGTGAGATATTCAATTCTTTCAGCAGGACACGTGAGAGCCTCTGAAATGGTAATGTGCACTAAAAAAAAGTACAGTGTTTCCTACATTTAAACACTGAATTCTTCCTATTCTTAGGAAATAAACACTGAAATACTGAAATATTTAAAGGTAAAGGACTATGATGTTTAGTTACTCTCATAAGGTTTTGGGGAAAAAACAAGTACACACATTTGTATATATTTTGGTATTTGTATAATTAGACACCATATCTATAGAGATAATGCAAATAGGGTAAAATGTTAATAACAGGTGAATCTGTGTAAAATTATATGGGTTTTCTTTGTACTATATTAACTTTTGCAACTTTTTGTAAGTTTAAAAATCATTTTTGAAAAAAAATTTTAAATAAATTAAAAAGAACACCATAATAAATAAAACCAAAATATCGAGTTCATTGTTTTCAAGGCAAGAAAATTATTAAGTTGCAAGCTTATCTTCTAATGTTTCATGGTTATATGACTTTTGCACTATGGACATTCGAAATCGCCCACCAGCAAGAGCCATGATGGAGCAGTTACATGACACTGGCCTGTTTCAAAGAATAAGTACTTCACTCTGTTCGTGTCATTCCAAACAGGAGCACCGATGTAAACGGGCATAATTCTACTTAAGCTAAGTATACCAGGATATCTATTCTGTTCCTTCTGAGTTTTTAAATGATCAAATAACAGACACTGTTACTTAGTGTATTTTAACAGGACATATTGCTTTTTTAAAAAAATAAAATAAAATAAAAGTATTGAACAGTATAATGAAAAACAAAGTAGGAACACAGGATGATAAAGAAAAGACACGGGATGATAAAGAAAAGACAC